TCTCTCTCTCTCTCTCTCTCTCTCTCTCTCTCTCTCTCTCTCTGTCTGTCTCTCTCTCTCTCTCTGTGAATACCTCTAAAGTCTCTCTCCCTTACAGCCTCACACAGCACCTGGCTATGGCTACTCTGTAAGGGCGGCCATAGACTACGACTGCCAGCCGGAATCCACGCTAGAGCACAAGTCGCAATATCTTCAAGCAGCGCACTTTACAGGTACCCAAAATAGTGCAGCAGTGCTTCCGCGTGAACGCACAAGTGCATGTGTGTTGACTGCTTCTCCAGTGGGACTTTTGTACTTGACAGTTCACCTTACGGATTGCAGCTACCAGTTATGGATCCGGTGCCCTGCCTGTGTTTGTTCCATCTGGAAGTTTGCGAACATTGCTGTGACTTTGCTTCTGCCTCAACTGACTGACAACTGGCCTAATGACTACCGACTCTTTCCAACCCATAAATGTAATACCTACCAGGAGCTTCCTACCACGGCCTACTCAAAGCTAACCTATCGAGGCAGTCGTGCTTTATTGTACAAGTGACTGAGACCGACAGTGAAACTGGGAACTGGGACTCGTGTGGAACCGGGACTGGGACCAGGGCTGCAGCAGTGAAATCCTTTCAGTTAACTTGATTGGCATATTTTGTTCCTTCTCCAAAAAAAGAAAACAAGAAAGCTCCAACGGTTTATTCCTTGGATTTTACAGGTGGGTGATTGAGACCGAATGTTAATTATGAGCCTTTGTAAGATCTGACTGATCCTCAATCAATGTGATCGGCCAGGAATTGATCAGCAAGATCTAATCTCTCTCTGCCTCCTTGCTCTCAGCTTGCCTCTCTCACCACCATCTCTACCACATCATCCTGCCTCTCTACCTATCTTGCAAGCCATGGTCCTTGGACGAATGCGCATTTCAGTAGAGAAAGGACACACTCTGGATATTTCTACTGCCGTTCACTATGATGAGTGCTCTCACCCTAAACCCTAAGCCCTAAGCCCTAGACCCTAGACCCGAGACCCGAGACTGCTAATCGTACTTGCAACCACACGAGCCGCACGGCCGTGTGGTGCGGTGCATTGCGCCGCACGACGCGCAGAACCTGCCTGTGTGCCGCCCCAGAAATAATCTGTTTTTTTTTGTTGTTTTTGTAGAGACAGAAGAGTGTACTACCGTCCCTAAGCTCCATGCAATTGTATCGCCAGGCATGGTAGCACAGGATCTGAAAGACAGATTCGACCGTAGAATCCTGGGGAATGGTAAAGTAGCAACTATCCGGGCCACATGCCTCGTATTTTCGTGGAGACAGAGAGGATGAGAAGGCCGAAGCAAAGGGTACGAAGAATAACAACAGTAGGGTTTAGGGTTTAAGGCAAAGATTGGGAGGAAAGAATGAGAGAAAGGAGAAGTTAGACAGAGGAGGGCAGAGAAAGACTTAGGGCTTAGTGACTACTCAAAGGGTAAACAGGGAGTAAGATAGAACTTCTCTTTCTTTATTGCTAGTAGGTTGTTCTTAATCCAGTTTCGTTTTTATTCAGGAATAGCATGTGAACAGATAGAAGGCGGGAGCGCAGGGACCACCCTGCAATACGAGCCTAATCTGGGTAACGGCCCCAGTCTTCCGGGTTGAGATGTGGAGGGATTCCCATCCTCCTTTTGCTCTTTATATAATGAAACATGCTATTTGTTAAAAAAAGAAGAAAAAAGAAGAAGAAGAAGAAGAAGAGTGTACTACCTAAGGAACAGATCCTGTTCAAGTACAGTCGTACAAATCTTTCTTTTTGTCTCATTGGGCATCATAAATAGCCTCAAATAGGGCTTTGGGGCATCAGTCTTGACTGTGAAGTGATGAAATTGCTCTTCCAACTTTTTTTCCTTTTGTTTTTTTCATCCTACGACGATTTTTTGAAGGGGGCTCTGGTGATCACTGATCCAGGCCTGCGACCCCTTCTTTTCCTGGGTGGCTATTTCCCCCATGTGCCGCACATGCCGTGGGCCACACGTGTGGAATTGCCCACACGGTGTGCGCTTGCAAGTATGCTGCTAATGCATACTACTGCATTTTGTTGCCATCTGAATTTCTGGAGATTTTGCATCCTTGATTAGCATTTAATAGCCACCCGGTGTGTGACACGAAATACTCCATGTCTAACAGATTGATTGGTTACATCATAGAAATATCTTCTCTCTTTTTCCCTTTTCCCCTTTTTTCCCTTTTTTTCAGTTTTGAGCTGCACCAGTCCCGATGTCTGTAGGGGGCATGTTACCAAAAGTCTTCTCTCTATCATTCCAATTTTAAGTGTATGCTATCCTAAGTTCCTGACCTTTGTTTTCTTTTAAAAAATTTATGTGTTGCCTGATTGTGCTGAGGGAGTGTATTAGCTGTATGTGCTGCTCCTGTGATTTTGCTTCGCGGCACCACATTGTTGACTTCAACAACCTGTTGGTTGGTTGATTTTCAGGCCCTCCTTGGTGAACTAGAGGGAGCAGACTTTCAAAGGTACACATTTCTTTTCCAGCTACATCCGTGACCTGCAGAAGAAAAAATAGAAGAAACAAGAGACCTTAACTCGAAGCAGAAGAACAAATAAAAACAAAAAAGAACTAGAAGCATTCATTTGTTCTTGCAGCTCGTCCCTTACCGTGCCTCTGATGTACAAGGCTCGCCACGTTGACTGTGGTGCACAAGCTGCCCACATCCCCATGTGTAATACCGGCCCACTTGCACACCATGAAAGGAGGGAGAGCAACGGCGGAGTTATATTCCTGTTCATTTCTTCTCAGATCTTCAACTTATATTTTGTATGTTCTCTTCATGATGCTCATTCGTATGTACTACTAGTAATACAAAGAGGAGGGAGGGGTGTGTATGCGTTGTCACATTCACTGTATACCACTCCACAAAAAAAGCATGACTGTGCCAGACCGTTATATGGGACACACACACACATACATCTCTCTCTCTCTCTCTCTCTCTCTCTCTCTCTCTCTCTCTCTCTCTCTCTCTCTCTCTCTCTCTCTCTCTCTCTCTCTCTC